CCGAGTTGAGACAGCAGGAAAGGAGGAGGAAGAGGCTAAAGATATATTAGAAAAAGCCCGAATGGGGTGGCTAAAGCGGTCGCGGAGAAAATGCGGGAGGACAAATACAAAGCTCACGACAATAAGACCGACTACCTCGTAGCATGCAAGGACACAAAGCAGACGGTTGACCCTGTCTGGCAGAATAAAGAAGCCAGATGTGCTGAAACCGCACAAGCCGTGAGGAAACAGGGAGGAGTTGTAAGAAGTCTAAGAACAACAAAGGAGGACGCACTTGAGCTGAAAAATACGCTCGGGGCCAAATCGGGGGAGTTCCCGCCTCCGGGGCGAGTGCTGTGGAATGTGATTCTCCTCAGGAGTGCTGTTTTATAAGGAACTGATTGTGCCACCATCTTCCCTTCCGAACGCGCGACCTGCCCTCCACCGCTGCCGAGTCAATCCTTCTGGAGCGACAATTAATTGTGGTCTCCCCCAACGAAGGCGGACGATTTACTGACGATGCTCCAGCCGCGGCCAGCCGGACGAAGAGCACAGAAGGCGACCGCGGCGGAGGCGAGCGAAAATCCGCGGGGAAGAAACAATGGCAGGGGCAGTGGTCCAATGCGCTGGGGTTTATGGGTGGAAAAGTAGGCGCATGGAGGTTCATTTTGAGTTTGATTTAGTTTGAGACTTGGCGTTTGTTTTGTTTGATTTAAGCTTGGGTTTGGTTTTTCAGATCTGATTGAAGTGTGGATGGGAGGATCAGAAGTACTGTTTTGATTTTCGGCACCTGGGGACAATCGTGCTGAGGTGTCTATGTGCAAGCACATCGCTAGGGGTTTTCTGCCAGAAAATGAGCGAATAAAAGAGCGTGTTCTGTTCCACCCCATGTTGTCGAGTGTGCAAATGCAGGAGGCGTTGAGGACGGCTGAGCACGAGCAGAGGGATGAGCGGAGATCTGGAGAGAGGGGAGAGGAGACGAGGCACGCCCTCGTCGCTGCCGGCATGGGCCGGGGCGGCGCGCAGAGGAGACCAGCCGTCGTCGGAATGGGTGACGGCGGTCACGGCCAGCAGCAGCAGCCACAGGCGTCGATGCAGCCACCGCAGCAGCAGCAGCAGCAGCAGCAGCAGCAGCAGCAGCAGCAGCCGGCACACCCGTACTTCTGCCAGTACCACGGTCCCAATGGCTCACACGCGACCGTAGACTGCCACAAGTTGCGGAGCGAGTTCCTCCAGAACTACAACGAGATCAGCGCCTACTTGAGCGGCAAGAGGGGCGCCG